TGATCTAAAAGGAAGGTTGTAAAAGATAGAAAGAAGATAAGGATAGATAACAGTATAATTAGGTAAGAAAGAATCATTTGGAAAATATATATGGGTTTTATCGTAAGTATTGCTTACAGAAAAAGTGATACTAGAGACAGTGTTATTATGATTATATTTGTCAATATGTTGTATAAGAGATTGAATCATTTGACTATGAGAAAGAAGTGGTAAGTTGTAATAAAAAAGGAATTTGTTAAAACATGTATGAAGATCATAGGAGCTTAAAGATGTTGAGAATGATCTTCTAAGATTGTCTTCTACAGGATCGATCATTATATGCTTGGCTCTAACTGCTGTGCAAGATACCAAAGTCTGTCCTGTACATTGGGTCTGACCATCATAATCTTGGCCTTCTACATAAATAGGCTTTACCACCTGCCTACTTACTTTATTTTTCCTATTAACTACTGTGGATGTATCATTTAATAGGATGGTGGCTGCATCTATGAATTTTGTTAAAGACAATTTATTGAAAATGAGCCTGTTCTTCTTGTTCTAAGAAGAGTGAATCTGTGATAGATGTGAGTATGTCAAATTTAATGTTGAATTTTTCATGTAAAATAGCTTTAGCTTCAGGTAATGCTTTTTTTTTGTAAAATTTAGTTATTGCAAAATAGTTAGGAGATTCATTATGAGTACAGTCAAAGTATGTAATGACACATGCAAGAAAGTCAGTGTCAATAAGTTTAGATATAAGAAAGTTAATAGCCTGTTGTTTGTCTATTTTGTTAATATTGTGATTTTCTGCAGCAGTGTTTTGGTAGATAGTTAGGTATTGGTAAAAATAGAAGACTTGTTATTTTGGATTAGTTTTGACAGAGTTAGCAGAACAGGTATACTCTTCAGGCTTTGTTGCCAGTTTATCTAAAACAGTAGTAGGGATTTGTATAGTGAATGTAGCTTCATGTTTACCTTTAATATAGAATATTGTAGCATTAAAAAAGAGTTCATTCCAAGCTTCAATTTCTTTTAGATAGGTATTATATAATTTAGGTATTATATAATGTGTCAAATATATTTCTAATAAGTTTAGTTGAGTTATATATAAGTTGTAGCTTAAGATTTGTTTTTTGAATATTATTGAATTTCTTTTCAGTTTTAGGTTCTTTTTCTTTATCAGATTCCTTTTTCTTTTCTTTATCTTTAGTTATAACTGGTTTAAGATAAAAGCACTTAGGATCTGTGCAGGTAAGTATATAATAAATGGCATGTCTAAAAGTTTCATTATGTCTTTCATGAAAACTAGTTGGTTTTTTGAACTTGATTGTAGTTAGTAGAAGTTTTTTAAGGTAAGTAATAAAATGTTATCTAAATTTATATTTAAGATAGTTTTGAACTTTGGTTTTGTTGATAGTATTAGAGAATTGGCAACTGTATATAGGAAAGAATTTTTCAAACCATTCATTGAAGTGGTCAAGTGAATTTTTTAAAGATGGTATATTATATTTTTTAAGGAATAGGGTTTTAGGAAGGTTGAAATTAAGTTTAATATTAAATCGATTGTCCATTTTAATAAAAAGAAATTAGTGTTATTTATCAACTTTGGTAACCTCAGATGTAATGTTAAATGTTTTAGGTCTGAGTTTAATATCTTCTGCAAATTTGGTGTAGTTAATTGCTTAATAATTATCAGAGAGATATAGATGAAGTCAGGCAAGATTAATGCAAAATTGTAAATAATTGTGGGTTTAAATAGGTGGAATGATGGCAGATGAGATGAAGATTTCAGGATAATTAAGTTTAGTAAAGAGGACTGTTGTAAATATAAGAATAAGTTTTTTGATTGTTTCTCGAGAATATTGAATGGTATTGTAGCAGCTTTATCATTATCAGCATTGTGTTATTGGATTAAGTCAGTTAGAAATTGAGGTCTAGCATCAGCCATTTGTCTAATTAGTAGATAAAGCTTGCTTTAAGTGCATCTTGATTTCTGACTACTTCTTTAATAACTTTGCTAGAATAGAAGTTGTAAAGGTGTTCTTTAAGAAAATTAAAGAGTTTTTGAAACATTTTTGTTTGTAATTTTGTGTGGTTTTGCATTTCATCAATAACCAAAAAATTAGCTAAGAAGTCATATGATGGGTTAAGTTTGAGTCTTGTTACTTGACTATAAGATTGAGTCAGTTGAGATTGTTGGGATGCTTTTTTGTTAGACTATTGTTTGTGTAGAAGTGGTAAAGCTTGATATAAAGATTGTTGTTGTTGTGGTTGTTGTGTTTTTGGATTTGTGATTGTTGTTGTGATTTAGGTGATGTAATAGAGCTGTCAATGTCCATATCATTGTTAGTAGAAGTTGTTTCTTCAAAGTTAGGTAGAGTAGAAACAAGTTCAAAAACAAGAGGATTGTTTGGATTTTGATCAAGTAAAGAAGTAACAAGCTGTTTAGTTAGAAGTTTATATTGTGAAGATGGACCTTGTTCAGTGTTTTCAGTAAGTTGGAGTTTATATTGATTAGCTAAAGTTATTTCTTTATAAATTTTAACTAAATAGTTATTATGATATGCTGTATTTTGATAGAAGTTAGATTCATTTTGCAATGCATAGTTGTTATTAGTCACTTTACAGTTGATATGAGTTTGGCATTTAGGACAAATATGTGTATGAATAATGGCTGTAAAAGATGGTGGAACTTGAGATTTAGATTTTGTAAATACTTGTTGAAGCTTTTTGGCTTATTTGTTAGTTGTTGTTTTATCGGTTTTGCTAATAAGTTCATATATTTTATTGTTTTTTATAATGAATTTAGTATGGAATAATCCATACATGTACTTGATTGTTGCAGTTGTTGCAAGAGCAAAAAAAAAGTGAGTTGGTAGATAAGATCTAAGTTCCATAGTAATATATTTGGTAGGTCTATATTTGTCCAAAATAGCTCTTACTTGTATAAGTTCATTTTCATAGATAGCGAAGCCATAAGAGCTTGCATGATTATTAAAGAAATAATCAAGATCTAAGGTATCTGGTGCTTCTATGCTAAGAGTAGGCATAATGCTATGAGTTTACTTAGAAGTTGGAGTTTAAGTTACTTAGTAAAATTTTTTGTAATCTTTGATTAAAGATTTTTAAAAGTTTAATTATAATATAAGTTTAATTACAAGATATAATTTGTATTTGTAAGGGTTTGACAGTGACTACTGTGACTGCTACAGTTTGTGTAATCTTATATAACCTAGATAATACAAGTTTGTGACTGGTGTGGCTGGTATGACTAGTGTGGCTAATGTAGTACAAATTTATAAATAGTTAAGTATTACAGTAATTATTATGTAATTGAGTGCAAAATTTATTTTTAGCAAGTTAGTACAATTTAATTTGTAACAATAAATTTCTTTTTGAATAAATTTAATTTACACAATATGAAATTAAATGAAACCAATTTTAGAAATAATTTAAGATTATATGAAAAACATTTTAGAGAAAAAATTAGGAGGTAAGGACAAAGGAATAAAAAAAAAAATAAAAATAAACTACAGAGAAGTTTAAGTTGTTTTCTATTATAATTTCATCAATTTTAGATCTACAAGTTTCTTTTTAACCTTGTTTTGATCGGAATGCAGTACTTTACAACATTTCTTATGACTGTAAAATAGGTTAACAAAATGCTTTATAAGAAATAATTAAAAGTTTAATAGTGAAGGCCAAAGACTGTTTTTGCAGTATTAAACTGCGAGTTTGAAAGTTATAGACTTGAAACTTACAGAATATATGTAAAATTGTGAGCTGAGCACGTTTATTTAAGACACAAAATTTAGTTATCTTAGTAAAATAACCAGATATTAGCGATTTTAGTACTGATGAATTTTTAGTTATTTTTGTTACAGAAAGAATTTTTTCTTTTAATTAAAAGATTAAAAGTTATTAGTTTAATAAAATATTAAGAAAAGTTGAATTTTTGTTAGTTGGGTTTAAAAACTATAAAGAGCTAGATAATTTGTCTTAAAGTTTAATTTTATCAGATTAATCTTAATTTAACTTATACAAATTTTGTTATATGTAAATTATATTAATTACCTAATTATATTAGTAATGCTCTTATTTATTATAACTCTTATTTGTTATACTTCTTATTTTGAATATCTTATTTTTTATACTCTTATTTGTCATATTTCATACTAGTTACATCTACTTATTTGTTATTCTTTATTATATTTCTATTACAATATTGATTATTATTTCAGAAAAGTCTGATATCTATAACTTGAAATACTATTATTCTAATTACAATAATCATTTCAGCTTAGAAATTATTGAAAATAAAGCTAATTCATTGGAGTTTGTCAACATAGCTTTAAACTAAAAAAATGCAATCAACAAAAAAAGTAATACTTTTTTTAGTTCCTTAACAACCTTCTATTGGTACTTGCTATTATAAAAAATCCTATACAAATTTACGATAATTATAATCAATAGCTTTAAATTAATACACAATTTACTTTTTTAAGACCTTTTAATAAAAATATAAATGCATAAATATTTATTCAGAAGTAACAATAAAGTTATCTCAAACTAAATTAAATTTGATACTTAATGCACTCGTGCAATCAATATACTGCAATTATTTCTAACTCTAAATTTATTTGAGTAATAAAAATTAATGTTTCACGATATTTTTTTGAAAATTGCATTTTGGGACTTAAAAAAAGATCTTTATTATCCTTGCATTGAGATAAGGTTAAAACACAGATATATTTATAAAGATAAATTTTGAAAATAAAAAGTTTAAATTTATAAACATGATATTTCAAAAAATAGAAAATGTTCGGATCAAAGAAGAAAAGTGTTCTCATACAATTGGACAGATAAGACCAACAGTAATCCTTTACAGTGATTCAAACCCTACAGGACAAGAAATTGGTCAAATTGCAGCACAAGATCCCAATATTTTTACGCAATGACTTTCGTGACAGATAATCAAGAAAGTCAAAAATCTGACAAATCAATAGTGATAATATGTGTAATTAGTTGTTGATTGCGGAAATTACTTTGCTTGTATGCACATAACTATTAGTTTGTTGCAAATATGGAACCTGTCGTAAATGTGGACTAAATTCTTCACCAGTAGCACATTGTGAACTTAAGCTTTGTATAAAAGATTCCATATCATCTTTATAATAATCTTTCAATTTTTTTATAGAAAAAGAAAAAAGCTCTTTTATGTTTGGTCTTATGGAAGGATCACGATTCCAACAACGATCTAATAATTTTCTGAAATCAGGTGGCATTTCAGGGAAAATTGGTGGTCTTACACCATTCAGGATATTCACAACTAAATTAGCATCATCATGTCCGTAATCACTAAATGGTGGGTATCCAGAAAATAATTCCCACATTATCATTCCAACACTATAGATATCAGATTGCTTGCTATACATTTTCTTACAGAGTACTTCTGGTGCAATATATGGTAAAATTCCATAAATTTTGCCATTAATAGTCAATGGTTGATTATTGAGTTGAGATATATTGCACATTCCTAAATCTGCAATATAACAATTACCTGAGATCATTAATATATTGTTACTATGTAAGTCACCATGTATCAAATTTTTATCATGCATGGATTGTAAAGATCTACATATGCAGTGCAATAGTATAAATCTTTCCTTAAGTGACAAATTTAAATGGTTTCTTTCTAAATGCTTCCTTAGACTTTCTTCTGAATATCTACCAAGAACCATGAAATAGTTGCCTTGGAAATCTTTAGTTATGCCATAACAGCCAACAAGAAAATCTGATTGAATTATGCAATGATTCATCGCCTAGAAGTTATTTAAATTAAATAAGTTTTATAAACTTATTGTAAACAAATAATTTTTATCATTATTACTAACCTCATTATAAATTTTTTGTAATTCCTTTCCGTTTAAACCTTTTAACGTTTTTAAAACGACAGGTTGATTTTCCATGTAGATAAATTTTTCTTTTTCTTCATCCCAGTCATCAATTGATCCTCTTGTCCATATGGCAGTATAAATGTAACTAAATCCTCCTTCCGCAAAATATTCAATTTCTTTAAATTGTTCATATGAAACCCATTCTAAGATAAACCGCGGAAGTGAAGAAATTGTTTGGCATTCTTGGATGAATTTATCCAATTCATCATCTTCGGACGTCCATGAATCAAATAGACTTCTTAAATATTGAAGTATACAATTACTACATAATTTTTTTGAATATCTTTCAGAGCCACACTTGTTGCATTTCATCGGTTCTACACATTTAGAAATTATATTATATCGATCAAATTCACGTATAAATCTATTCTTACAAAATTGTTTATCATTTTTTTTAAGAATATCAATTTTTGATAATAATAAAAAATACATATTTTGGTAGGCTTCTCTATTAGACGTATTGAACTCGCTATATCTTTTTAATTCATAATGAACTTTATTCATAAAATTAAATTCGGATGTTTGCTTTTGTTCCATCTTTAGCAATATGGCCTTGATAAACAGATTTTAAAGATTAATAACTTTTAATCCACCACAATACAAATTTAATGCCATATATATAGCTTTTATTGAATAAGTAAAAAAATATATATTGAACAATAATTGGTGCTTCTTAGTAATATTCGAATTTAAATAGAAATTACATTATATAATGTAATACTTAAGCTACATTATTTTGATCATGCGCCTTAATTTATCCCAAAATTTTTTATCAAATTATGGTTTATTTATTTTGTACGTTATTATTATTTATAAAAGCTTAATTTTATTGCAAGAAAATTTTTAATAACGATCATAATAGATATGTATCATTTAACAACAATCACTTCCCACACGCAAAACGATGATAAACATTTAAAATGACTAATAATCACTGCTCTGTGTGTAAAGATTGGCTAAATTGATTATATACGATTATTTAATATTAATGATACTATTTAAATTTTTGGTAAATAAGTAATAATAACTTAGAATTTAAAGCTCTCGATGTTTGTATACAATAACTATAATTCTTAATTATGTAATTAAATATCTTAGATCAATTCCTTATCTCTGACGCAAATGTGAGATTAGTTAACATTTGTTATAAGTAATTGCTATTAATACTAATCTAATCGATAAGTAATCGCCCATCACTATCTGTGTGATGGGTGTACAGTGGTTATTGATGTAATGATATGTATCCTAATATGCCTACTATAAGAAGTCATATAAAGTGTATAATTTAATTTGTGCGACAAACTACATAATCATAGGATATCAATACATCGTCGTTGATTAATTTATTATGTTATCGTGCAAGCCATCGATTTTTTCCTGTTATTTTTTGTACGTTATTATGTAAGCACAACAATCCCAAATTAAAACTCAGTAACCAACCACGACTCGTAAATAATGATCATAATTGCACGATATTGGATCGTGCGATGATAAATACCATAAAATTTGTTCTGTTGGGCAAACAATTGGCCGCTACGCGGCACATATTAGATAATTATTGCTTCGACAAAATAAATTTCATGATATCTATCATCGCATGACCAATATCTTATACATACAATGAGTAAACATTTGGATTTATACAAATATCGTGAGATTTATACCAGAAGCACCCATAAGAAGACTTTCGTATGATTTGCTGTTTAAATCAATTTAATTTTACATTATTTATACACTATTAAAAATAATCAAAATCCTTTTTTTTGTTTTAAAGTTAGCATAGTAATAATCTAATTCTATCTATTTTTAAGTAATTGCTATTATGGGGTCAAACCTAAGAGTAAATTATAAAAGGAGTATGTATTTGATAGAAATGTGAACTGACAAACTAATAATTTATTCAAAAATTAACAATTAATTATAGTTTAGAGTACAATTGTATTAAGTATAGTTTACAAGTTATATTACTATATAGAGATGTGATCTATTATCTATTTTTAATTTGAGCCAAAACTGATAAAGTTGCATAGTGTACTATATAATTAAAACTATATGTGATCATATTTTAAAATTTATTAACAAATATTTTTTAGATAACAATTTATAAGCAACAATTTTTTATTTTTTAAAAAAAAAGAAATTAAATAATAATTTTTTTTATATATTTTTTTAAAAATAATATAATGTAATATTAAATTAAAAAAATTTTTGCTGATTATTAAAATTTATAAGTTGAAAAAAAATTAAAAAGTAAAAATAATAACTATTTTAGAAAAAAAATTCTAATAATAAATATACTGTTAGCATTAAAAGTTTTACATTTTTGATTATAACTTTAATACATCAAATCAAATTAAATAAAACAACTATTATTAGATTCAGCTTACTAAAACAATTCTAATAAATATAAAATTATATAATTCTAATTATAAAATTATAAAATTAAGATGATTTTGATAAAGTGTTAATTTTTGTATATGTGATTTAGATATAAATAATTAATTTAACTAAACTTCAAAAATTATAAAAATATTAATCTTATATGTCTTACAGATCTTAAATATATTATCTATATATTATTTTTAGTTTTCTATTATATATATTATATATATATTTTTTAATATTAAGATGAAACCTTGGTTATATCTTTATTTATTACTAAATTTTTAAAAATGCTATATATTAATAATAATATTCATATTATTATAGATATATAGGTACAAAAGGCTCTGAGCAGTTTACCTTGAGGATAAATTAGTCCTAAAGTTGAATGATGATCTGGGTATCTGGATATAACCCAGTAAGTCAATACAGATTACAGATTCAGAGAGTTTAAAGTGGAACATCCAAGCAAGAATGTTAGGTATGGCAATTGATAGAGAACCTTCAGGTGGACTCCTTAAATAGTAATATAGAAAAGTTATACATGTAGCCAAATGTACTCTCTTCTGTAGTGGTTCATTGAACTACAATACTGACAAATGATTAATAAAAGTCAAAAGACCAAAGAGGTCACCTTAATACCAAAAAAAAAAAAACTAATATCTAAATAATATAATAAATAATAAAATAATTATTTATAGATATTTATATTTAAATAACCAATAAATAAATAAATAAATAAATAATTATTTGAAACTTTATTCTAAATATAAAATATATTATACAAAGATTTTATTTTTTTATTTTTTTAATATTAAGATAAGACCTTATCTATATCTTTATTAGTAATTTAAAATAATTATATATATATACTATAATTGAAGCTAATACTTGCAGTTAAAACTAACTATTAAACTGCTAACTATACAGCTACTACTATTTATATAAAACAAATAAATTAAAAATTATATATAAAAATAAAAGCTCAAACTACTTTATATATAATCTAAATCTATTAGAATGGTCAAAACTTATCTAGATTTGAATATTTAATATATAATTTAATGATATAGTATATTTGATCTATAAAATAAATAGCCAATAGAAGGACATGTATTAAAGTAACTATATAATTAATCTAAAAGTTTACAGAGATATAAGTAAATATGTTTCTTTAAAAGCATATATGCTTAGTAGCTAGATTAGTTTATGTTGAAGATTTGTTAATTGGTTAATATTAAAATCCTATTTTGTTGTTTTTTCTAGTTAGAAAAGTAAATGCAATATGCTTATATATTGTTTATTAATATTAAGAAAAATGTTAATAATAACTTGTAAAACAGTTTTATAAAGTATATCAGAGTTTTGAATTGTTAATATAAGTGACTTTAAAATAAGTTCTTTAAAAATAAGGTTAAAATAAAATGTAAAAAATAGGATATATAAAGGATTAAGAGCTAAATAGTAAAGAATTTTATTAATTAGATTATATTTTTAGTCAATATTAAGATTAGATAAGTTGTTAAAAATAATTTAATTGGTAAAAGTTTGAATAATTTAGTTGAGCAAAAGTAAATTAGTACAGATATACCAATAGAATTAAAAGTAAGCTAAATTACAATAAAAACAAGTAGTATCTGAGTATTGGTTTAAATAAATAGTATAAAATACTTAATATATTAGCAACTTATTAAAAAGAATTTTGATTTTAAACAATTTTAGTTAGTTAAGTCTAAAATTAGTAATGTTGTATAAAGGTTTTTGGTTATAATTGAAATAAAGCCAAGTGGATCTCTAATTAATAATTTTGGATTGAAGTATAACTACTTGCTGTTATATTTTTATAATATCTATATAGCTAAAATATGAGCTTATATATTTTCTTAATTAATTAGCTTATAAAAATTTTTACATAATATTGTTTTTATTAAAGAATATGATAAAGTTTGTAAAAAATTGTATAATTAAATAAGAGAAATAATAATAATAGATGTTGTTTAGTAAAAGAATTTGCTTGTCTATTAAGATTATTATCTAAATGAATCTATACTTTATGAAAATAATTTGTAATTTGTATAATTTAATTATATTTAAAAGAGTATGCCAAATAGGCTATAAGTAAATTTAAATAGTTTGTTAAAATAAGTTAAATTAAGTTAAAAGTTATTAAATTTCAAAACTACTAATTGAAAATTAGTAAAAATATTAACTACTAAATTGTAAAATTGCATTAATAATTGAAAAGAGCTTATCTTTATATAATAAAAGCCAAAATTGTATTTTAGCAAAGAAGAAGTTAATAGTTTAATTATTATTATTAACTTAAATTCAACCAATACCTATTATGCAGTTGTCAGTACTAATGTTAATTACTAAGCCATTAGTATAAAAGGATAGTTGTTGATAAAAATAATTATGATAAGAGATAAATATAAGTTTATTAATAGCTTTACTTAGAATAAAAATTTCAGAAGCAATTGAATTAGTAATAAAAATAGTAGATAAAGAATAAATACAAGTTGGATACTTAATAGCTGTAAAGCAAATAAGGTCTAAGTAATTTGTATTAAGGTTGAGTTGATGTTTAAAATTAGTTTTGTCAAGAAATTATATTAAAATAATTGCAAAAAATTTTAATAGCACAAGTTTGGTTAATACTATAAAAATTAAAATAATATTCTGTATATTGTTTGTATTAACAAGAAATAAAAAATAAAAAATAAAGTTTTGAATAATTTAAATTTATATTAGAAGCTTAGTAAGTATAAAGTAGTAGTTAAATAATAAAAAGTATTTTTATATTTTTTCTATAATAAACTTATTATTGTAATATAAAAATAACCAAAATATAGATTTTGTAAGTTTTTAAATATGTTAATAGTGTGATAGACATGAAGGTTATGACTAGATAATTAGTAGTGTGATAATATTTTTGGTAGTAAGAGTGTTTTAGAATTGTTAACTCTAAGTAAAAAAACCAAAAGATATTCTAACTTTCAAAGGTTAGGTATTTAAATGCTAAAATAAAATTAATTCTAATAATTGGCCTTTATTACTAATTGTATGAAAACATTTCAGATTTAGATTGGCTGAAATTGTTAAGTCAAGATAAATAAAAAATTGAATAATTTTAAAATTTATAAGTATCTATTAGA